GGGTCCCAATGGTCCACCTTTATCCATGGGAACCAGACTGGCCCAAAGCTTCCCACTCAAGAGTAGCTGGGACAAAACCTCCTTGGGTCAGCATTACCAGGGCATGTGGTAGAGCAAGCACAGCACGGAAAGCACAGTTGAAAGCCATTTGAACAGAGGCTGAAAGCCAGGTAGTGTCTACCAAAACAAAACCTTCTCCATCCCTGTGGTTTCACTTCCACTCTCTCAGCAGGAGGAGACAGCAGGGCAGAGAGGCAAAAAGCCTCCCACACCATGGCTTCCGACCGTCTCATCCACAGTGAATGGAGAGTGGCTTGTGCTCTCTCTGCAGAATTCCTCTATGCTGGCCAAGGCTGCACCCTTGATGCCACCATCCCCTCATCCAGCCTTCTCTGAAGACACTCACCTCTTTGTGGTGATCCCCACATATTGATAGACAGTGGTAGGATGTATGAAGCCTTTCATCTTTCTCTTCGGCAGCTCCTTGAAGTAGCAAGGGGGCAGCCCAGAGCTGGCATAGGTCCTGGTATCACAGGTCACCAGCCCAGAGTAGCATATCATCATCCGGGCTGCCAAGTTCACCTTATGGCCAATGACTGCCATAGAGATGGAGAGAGAGAAAGAGCACATAGTGATGTACCTGTGTCACCAGCTCCACAGTGCCCTTGAGGCCAACGGCTGCCTTATGCCCGACACCCACAGACCCACAGTGGGTTAAGCAGATCCCAGGGGAACAACCAGCCATGGAGCCCAGTCTCCACCTCAGGCCAGGATTGGTGCTACCTGGGCTATTCCTGGCTGGCCACTGGGCAAGCCCTCTCCCAGCCTGTCTTCCTCTTTCCAGCATCCCACTCCAGTTTCCCAGACTGCAGACACACGCTTTTACCTGTGTACTCGTGCCTCAGAGGGTGGCCAATGAGGCCGCAGAATGTCATCCCACTGGTAACGGACACAGACACTGTCCTGGAACACAGGGAAACAGTGCAGCTTCAGCAGCACTCCAGGCACAGTCCTGCCCACCCAGCTTCAGCCCTTCCTGCATCTCCTCTCAGCACTAGCCTGGGCCACTGGCCATCCTGCTCTGGCAGCACAGGGTTTGGGGATACAGAAAGCTCAGGGGTGTAATGGACCCCTTACACCCCTGCCAGGACAAGGAACAGGGCTTAGAGCACAGGCAGGAACTTTCGGACACTTATCCTGAGACCACATTCCCTGAGCTGTGACCTGTGACCAGTGGGAAAAGATGGAGAGAAGAAGGTGCCACAATGTCACCGCCTGTGGTGACAGCAATGTGAGATCAGGTGTCTGGGCCCCATCCCTCTTCACAGGCCAGTCGCCCAGAAGGGACTGCTTCTGACACCAAGGAGCTTCTCATCTTCACTAGGGCTCATTCCAGCACGGTGGCTAGCAGGGTGTGCTTGGAGAGACTCTGCCTGGCTGCCCGGGGATAAGCCCACGGGTTGCCTGCCACCTCTCAGGGCTCTATTTCCTTCCTGCCAACGAAGGGAGGACAACAGAGGGTAAGCTAGAAGCAACTCTCTTCTTCTGCCTTACGCTGGCCCAGGCAGCATGTACTCCCTCAAGCCCTACCACACACTCACCCTATTTTCGCAATGATCTCGGAGCACGAGTTGAAGATCTGAATAGCACTCTGCAAAGCGTGACTGCTCTCGTGCAGCACCTTTACTCCAGGGAGCCCAAACACACAGAGGAATGTGCAGCCCTGCCGAGGACAGATGCAGCACATCTTGCCACAATGCCTAAGAAGAAATCTTTCCCTCTAGCTTACTGTCCACCCTCTCGGGTTGGGGGGAGATGATTCCGCCCCACACTCACTTTGTCAAACAGGAGGACTTTGTTCACTTCGCCCTTGAGAGGATAGATGATTTCCTGTATAAGGCTGTTGACTTTGTTGAGGACACTGCGGAAAAATACTACGTTCTTTGCATCAAAATCCAGGCGGAGGAAGAGGCTGGTGACTGGCCGTAGCTCAGAGAGGACGTCCTGCAGCACCCTGTCATCAAACTGGAAGACAAGACCATGATGGCTTCATGAGCCTGCTGTCCCAGAGGCTTGCTGCCCACACCAGGTACCAAGGGAGAGCTGGTGTCTTGGCAATAGCAGGTACTAGAGGAGGAAGAGACAGATCCTCCTATCAGTGCAAATGGTCAACAGGCTGCCCAGCCTGCAGCAGGCAGATACCGCGTCAGAACACAAATGACAAAGGTGAGAAAGGTGCTCTGGTAACAACCCATCTTGGGACACTGACAGACGTGAGTGGCTACACTCAGCGAAGCTCTAGGGATTTCAGTGAAATCTCCCCTTTACCCTACCATCACATCCAGAGCACATGCAGAGCCATACCCACAGAAAAGACAGAGAGGCAGAAGTCTGCCTCCCACCACCCATCTCTCTGAGGACAACTCATACAGTGATGCAGCACCAGTGCCCTTTGGCTCAGTTTCCCCACATTATCATCTCAGGATGCATCTTCTTTGGTTTGTTTGCTCTCATGAAAACTCCATCTTTGAATGCACCACTTCTTCTGCCCTGCAAAAATGCAGCCCCAGCAGCAATGGCCCATCCGTACCTTCCTGATAGCAGCGTTGGGTATGTAACTAAGCATGACCCCCACATCAGTACCAGAGTTCAAGGAAAGAGCAGGCCTGACAGCATCTGCGGAGAGGAAACACAGGTGGTTGCTGGGAGGATGGGACTATGAACTGTTGGAAAGCAGGGGCTAGCACTGGCAACTGGGGAGAGTCTCCTGCGTTTGCTTGTGTTGCCACCTTCAGGTGCTCAGGGCAGAGCTGTGCCCTGGAAGGAGATGGCAGCAGCAGCAACCGCCCAGATGATGCACAAGAGGGCCAAAACCACGAGTGTTAACTGAGAGGGAAGAAGGGAGAAGTAGTTATTTCTGGCCCCTGCAGCAGCCAGGCCCTATGTTTCCAGGCAAACACAAATAAAGGTAAAGTTGGCACTCACATTCATTTTCCACAGTGTGGCACTTCTCCTTCTGTAAGAGCTTGTCTAAAATAACTTGGCATTCTGACTGAGACATCTGATTCATGCCTGTAACCTGAAGGTACACAGAAGGAAAGCACTGATACCGGCCTTTCCAGGAATCCCAGAGACAGATACTGCCTTCCACTGTCACTGCCCAGAAAAGGGGAGAACAAGTCTACCTGGCTGGACAGGACAGTAGTGCTTCCTCAGAAACATGAGCTGGGCAGGCATCTTCCAAGCATTCCCCCAGCTGTCAACGGCTCCATGAGCCACAGAGGACACTGCTGGTGGGGCCAAAACTCTTCCAGTGCCTCCTGAACCCTCAAACTGAGCAAGCCCAGCCCACGGTTACTCGTAACATGTAAGGACGAGCATCAGCTGCTCTCCACTTTCACAGCTACAACTCTTTCCATATTCAGCTCTTCAGCCTTCTGACACCTCCCTCCTTCAGGTCCAGGTCCTCAGAATGGCTTTAGATGCCACCCCATCCACCTACTTTCACAGCCGTTTTGCCTGCAATACGTCTGGTCCTGAACCGGTCCTTCTCACAGAGCTCCCAGCAGCTGGCTGAGAGGACAATTTCACCTGCACCCGCAAGTACTCCAGCCTCACAGACATCTTCCAGGGCCTTGCCAATGACACAGAAGAACTGCCGCCTCTCATCTCCAAAACTGAGGTGGTGCATGTCCCCTGCAGAGATCCCTGGGGAGAGAGAGAGGGAGAAGCAGAACTGACCGAGGGAATATTTTGAGCTCTACAGCCCCCAGCATCTCAGCTGTTCAGAAGCCAATCTGAAACCCAATGGGAAGATGGTCATTATGGAGGAGGAGGGCACCCTCCATACTTCTCAAGGGGATACTGACACAGGTCTCTGAAATGGATGTCAAGAAATAGACAAACCAAGTGGACAGTGACACTGTGTTGAGAGGGCTGGGTGGCTTATCAGCCCCCGAAGCCCAGCAAACCGAGGTCCAGATCACTGCCCACTCCCTTTACATGCAGGTGGGTTGTAGAAAAGAAAACCTACAGCCTGCAAAAGCCTTTCTCACAGGGAGAATTGCTTAAGGCCCTTTTGCTCCTTGTGAAAGGCAAGGGAGAATCCAGCAGGGAAAAGAATGCAAAGCTGCCCCCACCTGAAAAATGAAGGGTTAATTTCCTTCTGCAGGCATTTGGGTTAAAGCAGATGCTCAAGGACCCTAATACTCAACCTGACACCCACTCTGCCTTTGCACTTCATAGAATCATAGAATGGTTTGGGTTGGAAAGGATCTTAAGATGATCTAGTTCCAAACCCCCTGCCATGGGCAGGGACACCTTGCACTAAACCGCGTTATCCAAGACTCCATCCAACCTGGTCTTGAACACCACCAGGGTTGAAGCATTTACCACGTCTTTGGACAACCCATTCCAGTGCCTCGCCACCCTCACAGTAAAGAACTTCTTCCTTGTATCAAACCTAAACTTCCCCTGTTCAAGTTTGAGGCCATTACCCATTGTCCTATCACTACAGTCCCTAATGAAGAGTCCCTCACCAGCATCCTTGTAGGCACCCTTCAGATACTGGAAGGCTGCTATGAGGTCTCCACGCAGCCTTCTCTTCTCCAGGCTGAACAGCCCCAACTTTCTCAGCCTTTCTTCATGCAGAAGGTGCTCCAGCCCTCTTATCATCCTCCTGGCCCTCCTCTGGACTTGCTCCAACAGCTCCATGTCCTTTTTATGTTGAGGACACCAGAACTCTACACAATACTCCAAGTGAGGTCTCATGAGAACAGAGTAGAGGGGCAGGATCACCTCTTTCAACCTGCTGGTCATGCTTCTTTTGATGCAGCCCAAGATACGGTTGGTTTCTGGGCTGCCAGTGCACACTGAAGCCGGCTCATGTTCAGTTTCTTATCAGCCAACACCCCAAGTCCTTCTCTGTAGGGCTTGCTCTGAACCTCTTCTCTGCCCAACCTGTAGCTGTACCTGGGATTGCCCTGACTCAGGTGTAGGACCTTGCATTTGGCTTGGTTGAACTTC